TGTACAAAATAAACACTGTTAGAACAGACACGACAGATTAGAAATGTTGTACAAAATAAACACTGTTAGAACAGACACGGTAGACTAGAAATGTTGTACAAAATAAACACTGTTAGAACAGGCACGATAGACTAGAAATGTTGTACAAAATAGACACTGTTAGAACAGACACGGTAGACTAGAAATGTTGTACAAAATAAACACTGTTAGAACAGACACGACAGATTAGAAATGTTGTACAAAATAAACACTGTTAGAACAGACACGGTAGACTAGAAATGTTGTACAAAATAGACACTTTTAGAACAGACACGGTAGACTAGAAATGTTGTACAAAATAGACACTGTTAGAACAGACACGACAGATTAGAAATGTTGTACAAAATAAACATCCGTTAGAACAGACACGGTAGACTAGAAATGTTGTACAAAATAGACACTGTTAGAACAGACACGGTAGAGTAGAAACATTACACAAAATAAGCATTGTTAAAATCGGCATAGCCGAAGAAAAAAAAGTATACAAGATAAGCACTGTTAGAATAGACATGGCAGATTAGAAATGTCAAATGGATCAAACGCTTTGGTTTGTTTTGTTTGTAATTAAGCACAAACTACACAATGCGCTATCTGTGCTCTGCCCACCACGGGTATCGATACCCGGATTCTAGCGTTATAAGTCCGCAGACCTTCCGCTGTGCCACTGGGGGGCCAAACGCTTTAGAGTTATCTTTGGAGCTGGAACATGGCCCGTATTCCACAAAAGAGGTCGTTACAGCAAGTAATAGATGACAATGTCGATATATAAAACGTTCTTAGAAAACTTTAATAGTTTTGAAGTTATAAACAAGCCAAAGATTTTTTTTTTACTTTTCTATTTTGCTGGATGAATGTATAATGCTAGTATACAAAAAATGGCACATAATTAAATCACGACTGTCTAAAGCGTTCCAATGTTGTGTTCAGGAAAAAAATGAATTAAATTTACTTGTATGTTAAAATTTTCTCAAGCATGCCATTAGACGACAGGACTCACACTTAAAGTGTTATTTAAATACGGGACCAGACGCCACATGTACGCATTACATATTTTCTCGTGCATAACTCATCTTGTTTGACATGCATAAACAACACCACATGTACACGTTACGAATGTTCTCGTGCATAATTTACCTTGTTTGAACATGCATAAACAACACCACATGTACACATTACGTATGTTCTCGTGCATAACTCTCATTGTTTGAGCATGTATAAACAACACCACATGTACACATTACGTATGTTCTCGTGCATAACTCACCTTGTTTGAACATGCATAAACAACACCACATGTACACGTTACGAATGTTCTCGTGCATAACTCACATTGTTTGAACATGCATAAACAACACCACATGCACACATTACGTATGTTCTCGTGCATAACTCACATTGTTTGAACATGCATAAACAACACCACATGTACACGTTACGTATGTTCTCGTGCATAATTTACCTTATTTGAACATGTATAAAACATGTCGTATAATAAGCGTCAACCTCTGTGAGTCGTGATCTATTGGTGGGAAACACAATACAAACACTTTTATTTCACATTACTTATGAAACAATTATCCTAAAATGTGTTTCAACAAACAAAATAAAAAGGAATATACGACCACTACTAAACTTGCTGAAATAGTAAGAAAGACAGTAACCCCGAATGAGTATGGGTTCTTAAATACTGCCCGAAAAATTATTGAAACTAAAACAGCAAATAGAAATAACTTACATCTTTAATAGTTCCCCTGTCGTTGCTTTTAATTCCCTCAGTTTTGTATATCTTGTCGTACATGATGTATTAAAACTGTTATCCAGATTTCACTTTCCATCGTCAAGGTAACCACCTTCCTGCAATATCTAGCAAACGGAACTTGTCTCCTATAGCAACATATAAATCAAACATTCTTGTTTCAACTGGTTTAAAACTTCAACATCGTCGTTTTAATAGACAAAACTGACAAACCCAATTTATCGATCGGAATATAAGTACCAGGATTAGTTTCGATCAAATCATAATATTCTATATAGTTGCCATTTTGATTTAATAGTTTTTATTGAATATCTGTGAAAAACACAAACTTTAAGGACTTTTCATATTCATTCAATATTTCATTATCATGCTGCCTTAAAATACTTATATGTTTGATAACTTCACTGTGCACTAATAACTACAATTAGTTTATGACAAGAATTGAAAGGAAAAACACGAATTCCATGTGTACTAAAAATAGTAGAATGTTTAAATTAAAGTATACATATTAATGTATAGGTTTAAACATTCTACAGGCGTACTATTTTTTAAAGTATACATATTAATGTATAGGTTAAACATTCTACAGGCGTACTATTTTTTAAAGTATACATATTAATGTATAGGATCAGATTATTCATTTAAACATTTGGTTCGATATATCTGTTTCATAAGTAACTAAAAGATACGAACGAAATATTAGTTTATCAATGTACACGTGTTACATGTGGAATGTCCCAAAGAAACAGAAGTATATTTTATCTTTTCCCTAGGAATGCTCTTAGCTTAGTTCTGCACGTTTGAACTCACATATTTCACCGTATACAACTTTCAGAGATTACAAGTTGGGCAAAACAACAAAAATACATAGAATATTAGAAACATGTCTACATACAAACTATGTGCATACAATAAAATATCAACATAATACAGAAAAAATAAGGAAATATGTATAAACATAAACTATAAAACAACAAAACAATACAAGGAAAGACAGAAAAAATAAGGAAATATGTATAAATATAAACTATAAAACAACAAAACAATACAAGGAAAGACAGAAAAAACAAGGAAATATGTATAAATATAAACTATAAAACAACAAAACAATACAGGAAAGTCAGAAAAAATAAGGAAATATGTATAAATATAAACTATAAAACAACAAAACAATACAGGGAAAGACAGAAAAAATAAGGAAATATGTATAAACATAAACTATAAAACAACAAAACAATACAAGGAAAGACAGAAAAAATAAGGAAATATGTATAAATATAAACTATAAAACAACAAAACAATACAGGAAAGTCAGAAAAAATAAGGAAATATGTATAAACATAAACTATAAAACAACAAAACAATACAAGGAAAGACAGAAAAAATAAGGAAATATGTATAAACATAAACTATAAAACTACAAAACAATACAGGGAAAGTCAGAAAAAATGTCTCATATGAAATATACATATAGTATAAAACAACACAGATAAAAAGAAAACCTGTCTACAAATAAACTACACATACAACAAAAAATTTCTGGAAATTACACTTTTCAGAGCTTTACGTAGAGTTACTTGCTGTATTATGTATTATATTTTCTTTCCCATAATTCCCGTTATTAAGTTTTCTAAACCTTTTATCTTAATACTGTTACTTTCCGATGGTTCAGCAGTTAAGTTGAGGACCCGTAACGTTAAATTTCGGAGTCCGTCCGCTGCTGTGGGTACAGCGCAGATAGCCCATTGCTCTTAACAACAATCTTTTAATATTCAAGGGCATTTTTCATTCATTTAAATCCTTTTCTTCACATCTTTCTTATATTGAACTTCGTGGTTTTATTCTCGGGTTTCTTGATAACCTATTACAAGTTATAATAATACTTGGAGACGGCTTGAATGGGCAATGAAGAAAAACTTTAATATAAGTTTAACATAACAGCAAATGTACAACGTTTCGACAAGGTTTTTTCATCATCAGGTCCTTCTTCTTCTTCAGGTTTACTATTTAGTAACTCTCTCACTTCCTTCTAAATGGTACTTATATATTCTTTTAAGTGTTTCAAATATGCATGTTAACATAAGCTTCTTGTTCTCCATTATCTCTTCTCAAAGTCAAAACAAAAATACTTTGTTTTCTGATTAATAAAATATGCCTTTGCTCACGACATTCGTCTTAATAACTTTTTGTAGGTTTCTTCAACGGATTGTCATCTTTTCTTTCGATATATCTTCCACTTGTATGGTGTATCAAGTGAATCTCCAATCTGCACGAGTTAAAGGAAATCAAAAAACTGAAACCAGAACAAAACGAAACTTTCTCATCTTTTCCTCTATGTTTGAAACCAAAAATCTCGAAAGGCTTTCTAACGTATCTGTTTATAAGAGCTTCATTGTGTTTTCCATCTCAAACGTAGTCTAATCGTCATATTTCTTGAAATTGCAGCTTGTATTAAACCTTGATGAACAACATGTACATGAAATTTTTAAGCGTCATGTTAGTCCCATGGGAAACATGTAATTTCAACCCATCAGGTTCTCTCCTTTCTCTTCCCAGACGTTACCGAAGTCGGTACAGGCAATTATTACATATTTTTACAACTATACTCTTCCTTAGATTTACCCAAGAAAATAAAACTGCCCACACGTTTCTTATTATTCTACCAAATCTATGAGACACCGCGTGCGCATGGATGACATTTTACCACCTGTAGTACCAGTAAACTTGGCTGCAAATTACATTGTCAGTTAAACAGAACTGACTGGCAAGCAGCTAAACACTGTATTATATGTATTTTCTTTGTACGAAGAGAAAGCTAATGTGACCAACGGTCGAAGATAAGGAAAATGAAACAATAGATCCTGAACAAAAAAACGTGTGTGATAACCATCGTCTAACAAGCATCTTACATAACCAGTCTAAAGCTGAAATGTTTAGATAATATGAGTATCGTCATAGCAAATTTACAATAAGTGACCCAGATCACAAGATCCATTCCAATTGTGTGAAATGCACAACGCTTAAGTACAAAAATTGATATGAACTGACAAGTGCCTTATCACATATCGAAATGAAAAGATAACCTAATAAAACATACATACACTACGATATACCAAACCACGCGTCATGCAAGACCCAAAAACTTTGTATTTTTATTTTTTCTGTGTGATCCTCAAAAAACAAATGAAAAAATGTGAACGAAATGTAGTTCTATGGGGTTTGACTAAGTACTTTGGAGCAAAATCCGAACACACTGAAAACTTTTCAAAATAATAATAACAATTATGCGTACTTCTTACTCTTGGTAACATTTCTACATATCATCCATCTAATAGAAACTATGTGTACTTCTAACTCTTGGTAACATTTATACATATCATCCATCTAATAGAAACTATGTGTACTTAGTTCTAACTCTTGGTAACATTTCTACATACCATCCATCTAATAGAAAGTACGTGTACTTCTAACTCTTGGTAACATTTCTACATATCATCCATCTAATAGAGACTATGTGTACTTCTTACTCTTGGTAACATTTATACATATCATCCATCTAATAGAGACTATGTGTACTTCTAACTCTTGGTAACATTTATACATATCATCCATCTAATAGAGACTATGTGTACTTCTAACTCTTGGTAACATTTCTAC